CTGGGAGCTGTTCCCAGCGTGGCCTGCGGTCCCTGACCTGCAGTGTAGACTCAGGGATTACTGGGAGCTGTTCCCAGCATGGCCCTGGGCTCCCTGGCCTGCCGTGTAGACTCAGGGATTACTGGGAGCTGTTCCCAGCGTGGCCTGCGGTCCCTGACCTGCAGTGTAGACTCAGGGATTACTGGGAGCTGTTCCCAGCATGGCCCTGGGGTCCCTGGCCTGCAGTGTAGACTCAGGGATCACTGGGAGCTGTTCCCAGCATGGCCCTGGGGTCCCTGACCTGCAGTGTAGATTCGGATTACTGGGAGCTGTTCCCAGTGTGGCCTGGGCTCCCTGACCTGCAGTGTAGATTTGGGGATTTGTGTCCCAGTAAGGGGCCCAGACCCAGGTGCACTCCTCCTGGGCTGCCCAGGGGCTCTGGACGGGCCCAGACACAGCCCCTGGAGCACCTTGGCCCCAGGTCGGATGTCAGCCTCGGTGGGCTGCAGGGCCCTGGACTGTCCAGCTGCAGACCTGCATGATCCAGCGGTGTCTGAGCTCCACTGGGCTCCGGCACTGGCGTGGTGAGACCTGCCCAGAGCGCTCGCCCAGTCAGCCGGTGTGCTGCAGCTTGGGGAGGCTCCTGCCTGGGTGCATCCCAGGTTCCCCTGGTGGGGACAGAAGCCCACGGGGAGCTCAGAAGGCCACGTGTGGTTCTCCTTGTCTTCAAAAGAGGAGCTGGTGACAGCGCTGGATTTTCCTGAGCTCTGTGACCCAGAAAAACAGGGACGGTCACAGAACTCCCCTGTTTTGGGGTTCCAGAAAACAGAGCGCCCTGTCCCGTGGCTTATGGAGACTCACGGTGCCCCTCGTGTACCTAGGACAAGGCCACACCGACCCTCTGAGTTCTCCTCTGCGCCTCGTGAATGATTAACCGAGCTGCCTGTCCCCAGTGATCACTCAGGACAAAGTGCTTGTTGCCCAGACTTGGGTCAAGCTTCCTTCCCTCCCCAGGTCCCTGAACCTTGGCCCCCTCACCTGAGCCAGCACGCAGCCCTCTGAAGGGCCCCTCCCTCCCGGAGAGCAGCTGCCCTCGGAGGAGAAGCTTCTCCGCCTGGTTCTTCTTGGCCGTGTTTACTTTAGACCCATTTTGCTGAACTCTTCAGACACGTGCCGAGCTCACGGTCAGAGTGTTCCCCCTACTACGATACCTTCCCTCGTCATCTTTCTTTCCGAATAAAGCCTCTCCCTATCTGGGGCCCCAGCGGCGCAGTGTTTGAGAGCTCGGCTGCTAATTGAAAGGTTGGCGGTGCAAATCCACCAGCCGCTCCTTGCAAACCGTATGGGGCGGTTCTGCTCTGTCCTACAGGGTCGCTGTGAGTCGGAATCGACTCGATGGCCATGGGTGGGTCTGGGTCTCTGAGTCGGTTTTTATGTTCGACTCTAGAAATAAAAGGCGCATCTGCTTCACTTTCCTACATGGAAGCCAGTTACACCCCCCTTGCCACTCCATGCACGCTCAGTCTTGACTGAAAAGGTGACTTAACTTGCCACTCGTTCAGCCCCCCAGATTTCCTCCCCCAGGTGGGGCAAGCCCAGGAGCGGGCACAGAGCCATGACTGCATGGTTCTGCCCACACCACACTCAGCGGGCCACGGGTAAATGCCTGGGTCCTGCCAACAGCCCCCAGGTGTCCCCGCTCCACAGATGAGACCCCAGCACAGACAGAGCCTTGCAGGTGCCCGATGGGGCAGGTGGGGCCTCTTGTTTCACTGTGGTCCTCGGCCCGTTCTGGAGGGGGTCCTTGTCTATGCTTTGCAGCACCATCCTCCCAGACTTCTTCGTTGGGCGAGAGCCGTGGTGTCCCTCCAGTGACTGGGCCACCTTCTCAGAGTGGCTGAAGACAAGAAACGCCCAGAAGGTCGACAGGTAAGTCCTCCTGGGTGTGGCTGGGCTCAGGGGCGGCGGACGTGGGGAGTGGGGGTCCTGCATCCCCACTCAGAGACCCCCCAATGTAGGACTTCTGATGGCCGTGGCTAGTGGGGTCCTCTTGAAGTCCCAGGAGAGACATTTTGACTTGGCTCAGCGTATGGACGCAGGCCTGGACCCCGCAGGCCCTCGGGTGCTCCCAGCAAGCGCCTTCCTGCCCTCTGTGAGGGGCCTGCACCGATGCCCTGTGGGGTCACAACAGCACTGATGTCTTGATGCCCTGTGGGGTCACAGCAGCACTGATGTCTTGACGCCCTGTGGGGTCACAGCAGCACGGATTCCTTGACGCCCTGTGGGGTCACAGCAGCACGGATTCCTTGACGCCCTGTGGGGTCACAGCAGCACGGATTCCTTGATGCCCTGTGGGGTCACGGCAGCACTGATGCCTGGATGCCCTGTGGGGTCACGGCAGCACGGATTCCTTGACGCCCTGTGGGGTCAC